CTCCCCCCCCCCCCCCCCTCCATTGTTTTCCTGCTGTCAAGCCGCCCCAAACAACCAGCTATTGCTTTTTGGGCTACTGCCCCTTACTGCCTTGTTGTTCCAACCACCTATGATTGCTGCCACTCCTCATTCACAGCACGAAACCCCCTTCGTATGATACCAGAACTGGGTAGGAACTCAACAAAAAACCAAAAAGCAAACTTTTATTAATATAGAAAATGGTTACACAAGACACAACTGGAATGAAATACAAACACGGACTAATCTCCGACTAGGGCCTAAAGACGGTGGTTGTCTCAACCAAGTGGGAAAGGGGAAAAGGAAACTGGTGGGAGGTTGTGGAGTATGTTTGGAAGAGGTTAGGAGGTTGAATTGAGGGGTGGTGGAGTAGGGTGGCACTGCAAGTGGTAAGGAAGGTAGGGGGGAAGGTGTTGGTTGCCTGGTTAGAGGGACGAACAGTAAAGAGGGTGCTGGGGAGATGTCGGTTGGATGCAGAAAGGGATTCAACAAAGACACCACTAGACGAGAGGCTGGGCTACTGATCTGCGACAACACTAGGCATGGCAGACCTAGGAAGATGTGTTGGGGGTGGCCGACAACTAAGGGGAAGGGAGAGGAACGATTGGGGAATAGGGTTGAAGATGATACAACACCATCTCGGAGTAGGATACACCCGAAGCACCACTCGTCCTCAGATACAGCCCTAGTAAGGGAGAAAAGACTCAAAAGGAGAAATTTGAACATAACAAAAAACAAAAATTGAACCCTTGAACTAGAAAACAACAATTTATAGACTCTCATGGAGAAGAAAATGAAAGAAATAGGAAAGTAAACTCCCACTCAAAAGGAAGGGGTTGGGAGGCAGGAATAATGCAGAAAACAGCCATTAAAATCTTTTCATAAGGAGAACAGTGCATAAGGGGTATAGGAGGGGCTATAGTCTTGTCCTTTACAGAACTCACGAGAATTCTCACCCTGACTATTGGACCGGTTAATTTCTGTGGGAATTATTGCTAACCGATCCAGCTAGAATCTCTAGCGCCCTGCATCAGTCTCTCGGGATTGAGGAAGTTTTGACCTCATTTGTCGAAACTCCTGGCTCCTCACAGTACAACGTCAGATCGGCGACGTTAAATATGGCTGAAATGTTGTAGTCCCCGGGTAGGTCGATCTTATAAGCGTTGTCGTTAACTTTCGAAGTACTCTGAAAGGAACCATCCGATCTTGGCTTAAGTTTCTCGAATGCTCCTACTGGAAATCTTTCCTTCATTAACCAAATCCACATGAGGTTGCCTTCCTCGAACGTTACTTTCTTCTTATATTTATTCGTTTGTGTCTGATATTTGCAGTTTTGCTTAGTAATCTCTTTGCCAACCTCCTCATGAAGTTTCTGAATCTCGTGAGCTCGTTCTGAGGCGTCATCGCTAATTTTTGAAGATGACAGGAGTGGAACCAACTCAAGTAGTGTGAGCAGATTGCGGTCGTAATCTATCTTGAAGGGAATGCGTCTTGTAGTCTGGCTAACAGATTGGTTGTAGGCGAACTTGGCTTGGGCTAGAATAAGATCCCATTGCATTATACTCTTCCCCACGAAGCACCTCAGGAGATTGCTGAGGCTTTTGTTCACTACCTTTGTCTGTCCGTCTATCTGCGAATGAGCTGTTGAGTTAAATTGGAGTTTTTTGCCTAGCTTTTCCCAGTGCCCTCTAGAAGTGGCTCAAAAATTTAATGTCTTTGTCAGAAGTAATGGCCCTAGGAACTCCTTGCAACTTTAGATTCTCCTTGAAGTACAAATCAGCGATGTAAGACCCATCTAGTTTCCGGAGATAGGGTACGAAGTGGGCCATTTTTGAGAACCTGTCTTTTACCATCACTACGAAGTCCTTGTTCCTCTGGCTCCTCGAGAGCCCCATTACCAAATACATACTGATGCCCACCCACGATGCCTCTAATACTGGAAGTGCATGTACAATCCCACATTCTACCCTTTCGTCTTCGACAGATGACAAGCCCTACATTGCTTGACATGTCATTCCACATCCCTCATCAGTTGGGGCCAAAAATAATGCTCTCTTATGACGAAGAAAGTCTTGTCCCTACCAAAATGACTTGCTAACCCTCCACTGTGGCTCTCTTGGACAATGACCTCTCTCAGTGAACACCTGGGGATGCACAACTAACTTTGGTGGAACAAATACCCATCTACTCGGCAATACTGCCCTATTAGCTTCTCCTGACATTGCTCCCAGATGTTTTTAAAGTCCTCGTTTGCTTCGTACAACTCCCATATGACCTCAAAACCCACAACTCAAGCCTGCATGGATGTGATTAGCCGATGTCGATGACTCAGTGTCTCTCTTACGAGGTTTTGGCTTCCCGCCTTGTGCTTAAGAAAAAATTGGAATGAGACTAAAAATTCCATCCAGGTGGCGTGTTGGCCCTTCAGTTTGTTCTAACTGTTGAAAAATGTTAAGACCTAATGATCCGTAAATAGTGCGAACTCGTTCGTCAGTAGGTAATAACTCCAGTGCTCCAGGCCTCACAATAACATAAAATTTCTTGTCATAAGTCGAGTATTTCTTCCTAGACCCATTCAACTTTTCATTGAAGAAAGTGATGAGGTGTCCTCCCTGGCTCAACATTGCTCCTATCCCCACCTCAGAAGTATCACATTCTACCTCAAAAAGTTGGTTGAAGTCCCATAATGCTAGCACAGACGCCTGAGTCACATTTTCCTTCAGTATGTCAAAACTATCCTTAGCTGCTGCTGTCCAAGAAAACTCCTTCTCTTTCAAAATTTCAGTCAAAAGTATGGTGATAGTGCTGAAGTTCCTGATAAATCTCCGTCAGAATGATGCTAGCCAAAAAATTGCCTCATCTTGGTAAACGACTATGGTACGATCCAACTGACAATGACTTCTATTTTTATAGGATCCATCTGAATGCCTGCACTAGATACAATTTATCTGGCTTGCATGAAGTGACATTTCTTCGGATGGGCATAAAGTTGCTCGGCTCGCAGTACCTCAATTTTGCCTTCAAGTGTTGCAAGTGATCCTCCTCCAATCAGCTATATACTAGAATGTCGTCAAAGCATGCCGCAACAAACTTCCAAAATGAGTCAGAAATACCTTATTCATCAATCTCATGAAAGTGATCGGTATGTTTGATAGACTGAAAGGCATAATTGTCCGCTCATAAAGCTTGTCACGTGTTTTGAAGGTGGTCTTCCACTCGTCTCTTGGCCTCATCTATATCTAGTGTTACCCGCTGCACAAGTCGATCTTGGAGAAGATAATCGCTCTGTGTAACTGGTTCAATAGATCATCCAAGCTGGCTATGAGAAATCAATACTTGATGGTGATCTTGTTGATGACTCTGTTGTCGATGAACATCCGCCACAATCCATCCTTCTTTGGCACCTTCAGAGCAGGAACAACACATGAGCTAGTACTTTCTCTGACTAGCCTCCTCACTTCTTCCCATTATGATTTGTCTTATTAGTTTCTGTTTGGTTTTGTTATTTCTTCCCGAGGTTCCCTCATCGGCTATAGAAGCTGCAGATGATTGCTTAGTTAAAGGTGATGGTCAGAATAACAACTGTTGTCTGTTATGCTTCTGCTATTTCTCCATCCTCAAGGATAGTGTATGGACATCCCCCAACATACATCATGATAGTAATTGCAGCATATTGCTAATGATAAGTTTCAAGCTCTCGAGGTATCAAGCTATCGTATACTCCTCTGGCTCTATAAACTCGCACTTTAACTGCAAGTGACCGAACGGGCAGTGAACTCCTCAAATGAAAGATTGAGTTGCCGTAAGTTATGAAGTTTTAGAAATTTGTCCCGGTGATAGTGAGGTACGAGATATTTCTTCTGCATTTCCTTCATCTTCTCCCACTTAGTTATCTTCTCATTGTCTTATTTTTTACTCTGCCTCTACAGATTTTCCCACCATAAGGAGACAATTTCTTTAGTTTAATGGCAGCTATCTTAACTCGCCTGTCCTCTAGCACGTCCTTATACTTAAAAATACATTTAATTGATTGCAGTCAATTGATAAAATCATCGATGCCATCTTGATGCCAACGTCCCGTTGGCCTCCATAAGTGGTTAGCGTGGTCGATATTCCTCGTCACTGTGATCTTCCCAGTGGAACAAATTCAGATCCTCGTCCCAGTCTCCCATTCGACTTTCCAAAGCACGAACAAAGCTAATCTCTTCTTGGGTCCCGTCATCGAATTCTGCTTACTTCCATTGCAGACAACGAATTTCTTGTTGAATCTCTTCACGAGTGGAGCCCGGTGTATCTCTCTGTGGAAGCATGGCCAGAGTTAGAAATTAGAAGGAAAATTTTTTGTAGATGTGGCTTGAGTAGGTGCGGATGTTAGAAAATCCTAGGATGGGACTCAGGTTGGACTAGCTCTGATACCAAATGATAACGAAACTAGGTAGGAACTTAGCAAAAACCCAAAAAATAAATTTTAATTTATATAGAAATAGAGTTACAACACAACACAACTGGAAAAGAAATACAAACACAGACTAATCTCCGACTAGGGCCTGGGGATGATGGCAGTGTTAGCCAAGTGGGCGAGGGGAAAAGAGAACTTATGGAAGGTTGCGGGGTAGGTTGGGAAGAGGGTAAGAGGCCAAATTGAGGGGTGGTGGAGTGGGGTGGCAGTGCAAGTGGTAAGGAAGGGTGAAGTTGTTCGCAACTAGGATAAAAGGTCAGATAGCAAAGAGGTTGCTAGGGAGATGTCGGCTAGATGCAGAAAGGGGTTCAGGATGGTCGAACAACAAAGACAACAACAACTGAGAGCCTGTGCAGCTGATCTGCGACAACAATTGGGGTGGCAGACCTAGGAGGATGTGTTGGGGTTGTTGACGGCTAAAGGGAAGGGAGAGGGAGGATTGGGGGATAGGGTTAAAGAAAATACAACACCTCGGAGCATGATGCACCTGGAGTACCACCAGTTGTCGGATACAACCCTAGCAACGAAGAAAAAACTCCAAAGAAGAAATCTGAACACAACAAGCAAAAGCTGAACCCCTATAGCTAGACAACAACAATTTAAAGACCCTTGTTGGAGAAGAAAAGGAAATAAATAAGAAAGGAAACTCCTGCTCAAAAGCAAGGGGGTGGGGAGGCAAGAATAATCCAGAAAATAACCATTAAAAGCTTTCAATATGAAGAAGTGTGCATAACGAAGAAGATAGGAGGGGTGATAGTCCCACCCTTGTAGAACTCGCGAGAATTCCAGCCGGATTATTTCCTGCAGAAATTATTGTTGGCAGATTCAGCTGGCTGGGACCTTCAGCGCCCCGCATCACCCTAATTTTCCGCTACCTTGTAAGGCCCTCTAATTGTCACCACCATCACCCGGGATCCGCTCTAACGTGAGTTTGCTTGTCGTGTGTGTTGTATTTTCCTTTTCAAGTGTGTTTGATTGTAACTGTTTATTTGTTTCTAGTAATAACGGTTGTTTTTCCTATTAAGGTTTGAGTTAACTCTGATATCAACTATTTAGAATAAAATGGTTACGAAACACTTATTCAGGATCAACTATTTCTTTAATTAAGCAGCGCTCACAAAACTATATTATGTTTATTTTTACCTTTAATGATTGAGCTTCATCTTTAGAATGATAGAATCAAACCAATATAATATTTCAAATTCAAGATAAAACAATTCCAATTATATAAGCGATGACACAGAACAAAAAGAGAAAAAACTTCTAAAACGAATTGAAGGTTTTAAAGTTACATAAAAAGCATATTTTATACGGTAAACTTTTAAAATGACTTGAAGGTTGTCAAGAGAACATTAAGATGCAGCTATCATGTTCCAGCAAATATCATTTGATTTGGTAGTAACTCTAAGCATCATATCTGATACTTGTCATAATGCATTACCGTAGTGAAACCAGTAAGAAGCAGAAGGTAACAAAAGAATATTTCAAAAAAAGGCAATTTGTTCATCGCTGCAAATAAATTATAAGACTTGCTTATCATGATAGTTCCGAGTGCTCGTTGTTTAGGGAAACCACCAACTTCTAAATCAATGGAACTAAAGATAAAAAGTTCCACTAAAATAGATAACCTTTCCACGATAATGTATTGCAAAACTGAAATAGATACTGACAAGCAAGCTTTTATTAGCTTCAAATTAACTTTGTGCTTTGTCACTTCAATGCCCTCCGCAAGACAACTCTAGGAAGAATTAGAGAGGTTGACAAACAGACCTGGCGTTTATTGGGCAAGAATCCAGGGCAGTTATACTGAATCTTTTGTCCTATAAGATCTGCTGCTTGTAGAAGACAAGTTTTTTGTTTTGTAAAAGAGAATTCTTGCTTCTTAAGCCGGCCCTTCTTCAATGAATCACGCAAGGTCGGTTGCCTGAAAACTCTTTCACATACAAATTTTGGATGCAATTTTTTGCACCAATACTCCTGAAATAATGAGTCGAAATTGTCATAAGAAGGAAGAAAATGCTGAAAGCAAATAAAAAGTAACCGCTTTCAAATAAAAAGAATAAAAATGACTCTTCAATTTGTTACATAAGATGGTGTTGAGATACAGTATGCAAACTTAAGAAAAGCAGGTGATATAATTCTGGGGATGAAAAAAGAGGCAAGAATTTCAAATGCACACTCTAGCAAATCATGATCAGCCTTACTAATCAAACATCAATCATGCAATGGCTGGATTAAAAAAATAAAAAAAAATCAAATATGCACCGAAGACCTTAAACATACAAATGAATCGATCTGCATTACATAACAAAAAAAGTAAGCATCCACCAAGCCATTTGGTTTCTTCATTTAAGTTGGGTTTTCCTAGGTTAGTTCATATGGTATCCTTTCGGCTCAGTCTGCAAAACTTTATTAAAACATTAAGAAAAAAAACCTAGCATATCTTATCATTTAAGAATCAAAAGCTCAAATAGAGCTAAAAAACTATGCAAAACAGTGGAATAAAAGGAGAATGATGTTAAAGATCATAAAGAGGGACAGTTTGCAGGGTGTACTAGTACAGCAGAAGCGGAAAGGAAGTGATATTTGGGCTACCACTATTGTACGAAAAGATCCCGAGAGAAAATTAACCTAAAAAAATATATTATTGGAAAGAATAAGAGCACAGTTAACCAGCAATTTTGTGAGATTCCTTCTTCTCTTTAGGCCACAGGTTTATATCCTCAAGTTGAAATAATCTAGAATCTCTGATTAGTAACTTTCTACCTACAACAACCCAACAATGTGTAGATAATAGTTTTCAATCTATAACAACCCAGCAATCATTACATCACAATAATCCAACAACGTATGACATTCAATGCAAAATTATGGGTTCAAAGTACCAAATCATGCTCACTATAGGATAGGATGAACCCAAAAAAGGCATGATGACCTGAAAATGACAAGTTGATGGACCCCTACAGCATTCGAAATTTAAGATCAATTATAAAAATGATCTTAAAAGCAGTCATCACCATATCCTAATTCACATTAGGAATGAGTGAAGCTAGCTTTTAAGCTTTAAGGCACCACATGGCCTATATGAATGACTTGTCACGTCATTTAATTTTCTAATGCACCTAATATTTTATAAGGATTATGAATAAAGTTGTAGGATGAGAGAAAAGAAGAGGGAAAATGATGGTCATCGAGGAATGGCAAAAAACTAATTTTGAAAAGCAAAGTGGATGCCTAAACAGCAGTTCAGTTGCTGTCCAGCTGGAAAGCAACGATGTGAACCACAAAACAGCCAAGGACGACAAGGAGACAATTATTCTTTTAAAGATATAGATTCATCTCTTGAAGAAAAATAGACTACAACTCTCCAAAGACAAGAAATCACGGAGAAAAAGCCTCCAAATCATATAAACCAAGAAAATAGTTCTACAAAATCATGTTTCTAAGTAGCATACTTATACTGAGACAAAAATTAAAATCATAATTTTAATTATAACAATATTAAAATAATGGTAGAAGGACTCAGAAGGGACCAAAGCAGCAAGGCGCTGGAAAAATCCCGCTCTCAAAAATTTCAGAGGAAGGACCCTGTCCCAATCTGATCCTTCAATCGCAAGATGGTAGGATCATAGGAGACAACCACCCCATTCTCCCATGTTAGAAGAGACTGTCTTCTTCTCTGGAAGCTTCTGAAAACAATCTACAGCCACCATAATAAAGTCATTTTCTTGCTGTGCCTGGGAAAATCCCAAAACAAAATCTTTGCTCGCGTCCGCAAATGCAACTCTGAAATACGTATGTCATTCCAAAGTCTAAATATGGCGGAATAAATAGTAATCCTACTTTGGCACAATTAAATCTGGAACTATACATAGTCTAATATTCTCACGAACCAAGTCAGTAGCCATCAAGGTTGTAACCTACTTCTGTCACTTATAGTACTAAAATTGCCGCATCCGATGCGCAGGTCAGTTTAGAAGAACAGATCCTGGAATGAAGTATTTGTCATGTTGGTTCTCCCTAAGTTGTCATGACCTGACCCGTAGATTGAAATTAAACAAGACTAAAACAAACGGTCGGACGATGGGAATTAAGTTTTCGATATTCATTTACTATTTAACAAATGAAAGAAGCACTAATCAATTTAAATTAAAGCAACAAAATTAAATTTATCTCGTTACTGATTATTTGTGTCTTCTATAAACATTTTCGCTTCTATCGGTTATCTTCTAATCACTTAATTAAACTTAAAATGTTAGTTTAAAATAAAAATGAGTTAAACAAACCAGTGAATACTCATAATCCTACACTATAGTAATTTAATGAAAAGAAGATAATATACATACTAATTAAACTTTTAATAAAACATATAAACATTTGATGTTATTCGATGAATCATACTATAACAATGGCATATCTATATATTTCTATATTTATACAACATCACAGGAGCACCGTCTAAAAATTATACTATTTAAGATACTTCAATATCAATATTCTATTTCATTTACATATACAAGTACATTAGTGTTTCCTTGTTAGTACTATAAAAGGGTGATTCCATCATAATCAGTCATGTACATACAAGTAATCAATATAAACATACCATTCATGTGCTCATCGTATTCAATTCAATATGATATATATAACATACATCAATATAATGTATGATAATATGTAGATATATGCATTTATAACAATATGCCCAATAAAGAAAATATCATATGAATCAAAATAAAGTTTGAACACGTATCTGTTGACCTCATTTTTAGTGAGGTCTTAGTCTTCTACTCTTAGAACCTAGGATCTAGCTTTAGGAGTTCTTATTGACCATCCTAGCGGACTAGCAATAGAGCCCACCTCCCATAGAACTTCAAGCCACTTCTTGACTCATTTTTGTGAAGAACTCGCATGAGTGGTTCCAAGCACTCAACTTTTAGTTGCAAGGGCTAAGGACCAACATGTAGAGGGCCCGAAATTGAGTTCCTATAGGATCAACAGCCTTAGGTGAACCCTTTGTGACTCGATTACTCGCGAACGCCGCATTTCACGCACTCTCTGCACCCCATACGACTTTGACTTGAATTGACTCGTCCGCCGGCAAACTCGTCCGGACGACCCCGGATGACGAAACAGACTGCGCCGACGCATCCGGAACGTCAAATTTAGCTAGGAAGGACACCCATATTTCTAGGGTTACACACGCGCACATATGGCACGAAAATCGATGCACGATAGCGGGCGTGGGCCCGGGCTCAACCCAGGTTCATTTCGAGTTTGTCTTGGGCTGGATATGGGCTGAACACAGGCTTCTTGACTCAGCTTATAAGATTTTGAATTTCAAATTTTAAATTTTAAATTTATCATTTAATTCTCTCCATTAAACTTTTCTAATTAACCTGTCTGCCTGAAAGGAAATAATTCAATTCCCCGCCAATGCTTTTCAAGTAACGGCTCTCGACCCCGCTCCTTTCATTAATTCGACCCCGCGCTCTCGCCTTCTTCCTCCTCTCGACACGATTTGAAACCCTCTCCACCGAAAGCTTCTGGTTTTCGTTCCTCCCCCTGCACCGAGAACCTTCCTCGCTCGAAACACTCGCCTCCTCTCTGCTTGATCCCGTCTCCCGCACCCCGCACCGAAGCCGCAAATCCCACCGCTCTGCTCCGATTTCGTCTCCTGCACTGACGCCGCAACTCCTCGCCTGCTCC